GGCTAAACAAGTTGTGGTCTGTGATTGTAATGAAATATTGTGCCACAAGAAATGGGGAGCATGATGATTTCAGAAAGACTTACATGAACTGATACAAAGTGAAGTGAGAAGAACCAGGAGAACATTGTGCACAATAACAGCGATATTGTGCAGTGAATTGTAAATGACTTGGCTCTTCTCAGCAATACACTGATCCAAGACAAGCCTGAGGGACTCATGATAAAAAATGTTACCTGCCTCCAGAGAAGGAATTGATATCTGAATACTGACTGAAGCATACTATTTTCTCTTTCTTTCTTTCTTGTTCTTTCTTTTCTTTGTTTCTTTTTCTTTCTTTCTTTCTCTCTTCTTTCCTTCCTTCCTTCCTCTCTCCCTCCCTCCCTCCCTCCCATTCTCTTTCTTTCTTTTCTTTCTTTCTTTCTTTCTTCTTTCCTTCTTCCTTCCTTCCTTCCTTCCTTCCTTCCTTCCTTCCTTCCTTCCTTCCTTCCTTCCTTTCTCTCTCTCTACCTCCCTCCCATTCTCTTTCTTTCTTTTTCTTTCTTTCTTTCTTCTTTCCTTCTTTCCTTCCTTCCTTCTTTCCTTCCTTCCTTCCTTCCTTCCTTCCTTCCTTCCCTTCCTTCCTTCCTTCCTTTCTCTCTCTCTCCCTCCTCCCATTCTCTTTCTTTCTTTTATGAGTATTCTTGCATAAAACAACTAATATGGAAAGGTTTTACATGATTGCACATGTATAACCTATGTCAGATTACTTACTGTCTCAGAGAGAGAAAAGGGGAGGGAGGGATAGAATTTGGAACTCAAAACTTTAAAAAGAATGTTCAAGTTGTTTTTACATGTAATTGGAGGGGGGAATAAATATTATGAGAGAGGGAGAGAGAGAGAGAGAGAGAGAGAGAGAGAGAGAGAGAGAGAGAGAGAGAGAGAGAGAGAGAGAGACACCTTGGCTTGAATATTTCTTCTGATACTGGCTATGGTATTCTGAGCCTCAGCTTTTTTCATTTGAAAAATGAAGCTAATAATATCCCCACAACACCCATTTCACAAAGTTTATTGTGAGTTTCAAATGGGATGATATATGTAAAGTGCTATGTCAAAACTTCCAGGATTGTCTATATATTGTATTATTATTATTGTTGTTATTATAATGATAATTATTATTTTCATTATGGGGGTTGTTTTTCTGAGATTTCTGAGATCGCTGTTCCATCAGAACATGGAAGAGTGCACTTATTGGCTTCTGGATGTCCCTGCCAGCCGTAAGCTTCTACTTGTTTAAAGTAAGTTTCTTGACATCATCTTGGGCTTGACAGGAGACAGCCTCTTACAGATCCCACCATTCCAATCGCAAGGGCAGACAGTGAGAGGAAGAAGCTTCCAGTGCCACCCTGGGAAAATCATAATATTAATAGGTCACATCGGTATGGTGCTTTAAGAGGGCAAATTGCTTTGCCTGAATGCAGAAAAAAAAAAGACACACACACACGCAGAGCAACAGGAAAAAAACCAATCCAATCCTTAGTTCCTGTGGGAAATGGGTAGCTAATTCTTCTCCCTTTAATCCCTCTTCTTTCCTCCAAATCCTTCCTCCTCCAATCTGCATGAGAAGGGAAAACTGTAAACCAGTGAAGTGAATCAGTCCTGCCCACCTGCTCAAAGCCACAGGGGTGAATTTTCCGACTTTTAGATTAAAATGGAAAACACAAACTTCTTAGCTGGTCCTCGGTTGCCTCAGGGCATCAATATTCACAGGGCATCAGACACCTACCTAGTCTCCTGGACTGCCGGAAGTGTTAGCAGAAAGGGAGCTGGAGAAATTGAGAGCTTAAAGGCTGCGGGCCTCTTTTGCTATGCCTTTGGTTTTCATGTTTGAGGTGTCTGTCCTGTTCAAGTTTAAGTGACTGTACTGATCACTGTCAAGTTCAGCAGCCAGGTCACTAACAAGGTCAATCGGCCTCACTACTAATCTGTTGTTATGGTGGGGGTGGAGTGGGGATGACAGTCACAGGTAGTGACCACTGCTGATTCTGGTTGTATAATCATTGGATTTAGAGCTGGAAGGGCTGTTAGAGATCATCTAAATCATCATTTGAGTTTGATATTTGTCAACTTCACAATAATAAAAGTTGAGAGAGACCGATGATAGAGGAAGAGAGAAAGGGGGCAGACACAAGGAGAAAGACAGAGGCGGAGGCAGGGGGAGGAGGGAGAGGGAAAGAGAGAGAGAAAGAGAGAGAGAGAGACAGATGGAGAGAGAGACACAGAGAGAGAGGGAGAGGGAGAGACAGAGAGGCAGAGACAGACAGAGAGAAGAGTGGTAGGAGGGAAGGAAGGGAGGGAGGGAGGGAGAGAGAGAGACAGAGACAGAGAGGGAGAGACAGAGAGAATCAGAGAGGAAGGGAGAAACAGAGAGAAGGAGGGTGAGGGAGGAAGGGAGAGAGAGAGAGGGAGAGAGAGAGGGAGAGAGAGAGAGAGAGAGAGAGAGAGAGAGAGAGAGAGAGAGAGAGAGAGAGAGAGAGAGAGAGATGAAGAGAGAGGAGGAAGGGGAGAGGGAGAGGGAGAAAGAGAGAATGATGGGGAACGGGATGGAGATCAAGTCTAATGGCATTTTATTAATGAGGAAATGGATTCTCAAGGAAATTAAAGGACTTTGTCATCCCAGGCCAGCCATGTAGATTCCTTTCTTCCTCTCTGGGGATCCTCTCCAAACTGTCCTACCTTCTTTCTCCATTATGGCCCCAGGAATACCTTCTTCCCTCACCCCCTCTTCACTGGTTAGAATGTAAGTTCCTCGAGGGCAGGGACAGCTTCTTTGTTTTTCTTTTATACTCTCAACACTTAGCATGGTACCAGGAACCTAGTAAGTGCTTAATGAATTCTTATGAACTTGACTTGGCACAGCTAGTAGGAGAGTAGCAGAGCCAACCCTTCTGAGGGTCTTCTGAGGTCACCAAATCCAGCTGTTCTTTTCATTACCTGCTCACCTGTAAAGGAGTTCCACACTATAGCACCTAAACGTTCTTTCTAGCAATTCTCATCTATGTGACTTCTAGGGATTGGAGAGTCTGTAAAGTTAAAACAAGCAAAAAACCCAAACCCATTGGCTGGTGGAGGTTTTGTACAATGGCCTGATGGTAAAGTGGGTTGATTTTATTTCTTTCTCTGGCTCCTATGTGATTCATGGAAGTTCTAACCCTGCCTTTGGACTCCAGCAGAGGTGAGCACAGTAGAATGTCATCAGTACCTCTGACACTGTCATTAAAAAACAAAAACAAAAACATAAATGGCACCTCAGAGCTTGGGTTATGGTAGATGATAAGATCATAGATTTACAGCTGAAAGGTCATCTAGTCCAACCCCTGCATTTTACAGATGAGGAAATGGTAATGAAGCGACTTGCCCAAGGTCACCCCCTCCCTATTTTCCCACTCCAGGAGCGGGTTCCAGTATATTTGTTTGCAAGACTGTGCTCAATGATTTCTGGGAATTAGGTAGGAGGCAGGGTGAGAGGGGTGTAAGTCCCGAGTGTGAGCACTGAGCTGATCCGACATTATTACCTCAGACATCTGCTTCAGAAAGTAATTATCTCCACCTTTCCCACATTTCTGTTTTCGACACATAAACAAGGCCTGGGAAAGTTTTACCAGACAAAAAGCATTTGAGCTCGGCTTGCTGTATCGATGTTTTTGGGAATGCTTTCTGTTTTACAACCGGAGGCCTACATCTTCTAGAAAAGGTCACCTGCATTTGGGGAAAGTTGCAGTTCACCTTTTCCGATTTCTTCAGAGTAATGTAATGGGAGGTGGTTGTGATTTGAGATGCCAGCTGACCTTGCCTGGAGGACACACAAAGGATTTCCTCTGGGAGTTTGCCTTTGATCAAAACAAATTCAAAGAAAAAACCAAGAATTCCTTCCCTCTGTCTCTCCTTTCCTTTCCTTTCCTTCCTTCCTTCCTTCCTTCTTTCTTTCCTTCCTTCCTTCCACCCTTCCTTCCTTCCACCCTTCCTTCCTTCCTTCCTTCCTTCCTTCCTTCCTTCCTTCCCCTTCCTTCCTTCCTTCCTTTTTTCCTTCCACCCTTCCTTCCTTCCTTCCTTCTTTGACACATAGGCAAATAACTGCATGAATGATTTAGACAATATGTTTTAAAATTTCAGAGGAGAGAAAGATCATGTTTAGCTGTGATGATCATGGAAAAGGTAGTGTTTGTGCTCAGACTTAGGGCAGGACTCAGATTGGGAAGGACCTTGAATGGGAGTGTAAGGAGTTTGCTTTTTATTCTCTTGGCAGTGGGGAGCCAATGATTTTTTGAGCAAGAGGGTGGCACGATTAAAACGTGTTTTAGGACACTTGCTTTTTTCAGAATGGATTAGAGTATGTGTATGCGTATGTGTGGTGGGATGAAAAGGTAGAGGAGATGCATTAGACAGGTCCGATAGAGGATTACAAATTCCTGAACTCAGGTCCATAGAATTTCATTGGTTTTAGAGCTCAAAGGAGTTGTAGAGATCAAGTACTGCCTTAATTTTAAATGAGAATGTAACGAGCTGTGGAGCCCAAGATGACACCGATTTTAAGGAGCAGAGTGAAGATTCTTGGGATCTCAGGCTCATAGCTCTAGAGCTTGGGAAGCTCTGAATCTTCATCCTCTTCCTTGGCAGTAGGAATTGGAAAGAACTCCAAATGCAGGGGAACAACAGAAAAAAAATCTTATTTGAAACAAGTTCATTAGAGGTCAGTTAAAAATATCCTATGTGCCTAAGGATAGATAGGTGAGGAGATGACATGCAGTCTAAATACTTGAATGATTCTGTGAAGGCATAATTCAATATGGTAGCTTGGCATTATTTAGAAAAACAGTCCTTTTACAGACTAAGTTTCTCATGTTTGAGCCAGAAAGCTTGGAGGTCATGCTTCAGAGCTTTCGATAGATAGGGCAAGGAAGTAGCTTGCTCTGATTCCTCTGTGGGTGGCTTTAAATGTATTCCTTCCTCTCCTCTATTTTATCCTCTCTTCCCTTTTCTCCCTCCTACTCTTTCTTTGCCAATTGCCCTTAGCACATGGCCGCTGTCAGCTGGTGAGTTTCCTGGTTGTGGGGGAGTCTGAGGAGGTAGGTCGGGTGTCAGCTGGGGACCTTGTAGGCAGGGCTCAGGGGTGGGCCCAGGCCTGGCCTATGGCCAGGGCTAAATCTCGGGCTAGAATCACAGCTGTGGGGTAGGAAATGGAAGGTAAAGCTTGGCAGATGAGATATGGAGGACCTGTAAAAGAGAGCTCTGGCTTTTCCCTTGACCCAGATGTGCTTTTATGAAGCCAGATCTATAGGAGTAGAGTGGTGAGCGTGGATGAGAAAGGAGCAGTTAGGATGTGTGTGGGGTGTGTGTGTGTGTGTGTGTGTGTGTGTGTGTGCACAAATGGGGGAATCAATCTAATTCATTTCTGTCCTGCCCTGACTCCTCTCACCCCTCCTCAAGGTTCTTGGTAGATTCAACATAAATCAGCCAACGTTGACTGGCTGATAGAAGATTATGCTAATTGCTTCCTATTTATCATCTACTCTGAAATCACGGAATAAACATAAATGATGAAGAGATAAGTGATTTCTACTTTCCATCAACATATGAATGACATGATGCACTAGTTAGGATATAGGAGGGTGTTTTCTCTGGGGAAAGACTGATGTATTTTTCCTTTTCAGCAACTTGAAAGTGACTGAGAAATAAAACTTTATTTAGGAAAATTACAGTATCTTCTGAAGAACATTTATGAAACACAGTGTGTGACAATTTTACTAGTGACCTTACATCTTGTCCTCTCTTCTAGGAGTGGTGTTGAGAGAAAACCTGCAGCGGCCTTGCAGATAAGCCACATGCCTGATGTCAACGTGATCTCACCAGAGAACAATGGTAAAGGGTGTTGATGTGGTCCTATCCTCTGACTCCTACAAGCTGTGTTACTCTTAAAGAAAGGGATTTTAAACTTTTTTGCAGTGTTCTGAAACCTACGGACCCTTCTCAGAATAATGTTTTTAAATGCATAAGATAAAATATATGAAAATTATGTTGAAATATAATTATCAAAATATTTCTTTTTAAAAAGTTCTAGGACTCTGGGTCAAGAACTGCCCCCCCCCAAAAAAATAATGGGTTGGTCTTGTAGACTGGTAATCTTTTGGTATGGATCTGTGAAGTTACTCCATGCAGGGGTTCTTAACCTGGAGGTCTGTGAACTTTTTTTTTTTTGCAAGGCAATTGGGGTTAAGTGACTTGCCAGGGTCACATAGCTAGTGAATGTCAAGTGTCTGAGATTGGATTTGAACTCAGATCCTCTTGACTCCAGGGCTGGTACTCTATTCACTGTGCCATCTAGCCACCCTGCTCCATGAACTTTAAAAAAAAATTCAATAAGTATTTCAAAATAATTAGCTTCCTTTGTGTGCCTTTAAAATTTTTTAAATTCATTTCAAAACATTATTCTGAGAAGGGCTCCACAGGCTTTACCAGAATGCCCAAAGGGAGTCTACTCTACTCTCTAGGAAGGATAATTTGCAATTTGTCATGGAAAGAGTCTAAGTAGAGAAATAGATTCACAATCTGGCTCTAACTTTAGCTACCTAAACCTGGGCCAAGCAGCTCATCATTCTGTGCCTCAGTTTCTTTATCTGTAAAATGGGCATGGCAATACTAATCTTATCCCCACTACAAGGCTGTTGTGAGGAAAGCACTTTGTAAATGTAAAGAATTGTCTCAATATGAATAATTGCTGTTGTTATTATTATTATTATTATTATTATTATTATTATTATTATTACAGGAAATGAAAATGCCAGAATCAAGAAACAAGGATTTGCTTTGGCTTTCATCTGAAACACACTTAGTAGAATTCCTTCTTCCCCCTTGCTTTCATAAACCTGTTGCTGGTGGGGGTAAACAGTAAATTTTTTAGATCCCAGGTAGATTCAGCATAATGGGCAGCCTCTGTCTGTGATGTCACTTGACTTCTTGTAACTAATTCCTGGGGGTGACTCAGGAGTGCACTAAAAATGGAAAGAACCTCCAAAATGGTACGTGCTTCCCCGCTTCAGGTGATCTCAGTCCAGACTAAGGAAAAGCATGACTCAGTCTGGGGGGCAGGGAGATGGGGAACAACCCACACGGATGATTTCACCAAGAAGACGAGGAAAATCCAAAGTTGCTTGATCTCCGGCACATTCATCAGTCTATTTAGATTGGATTGTGCCGTTCTGGTGCTGCTGTCTGTGGCTCTCTTTCCTTTAGGGAATTTGAATGTACAAGTGCTTTAAAGTGGAGATAAAACGGCTTATGATTCATGTCCCTGCCTTTCTGAAGAGTTTCCCTGTATAGACTCTGACAACCTCTGGAGTCGCCTGAAGGTTAAAACTATTCTTCCCCCAAAAGGAGAAGACGATTTCACTTTTCTATTCATTGCATTTCTCCTTCAAACACAGATGAATACAGAAGTGATTTTTTTCTTTTTTTCCTATTCTTAATAAGAGTATATCTCTTCTATTTTCATTTACTCAGGCCTGCTTTGCTGTTTTAAAATCAGTGATGAGATTCTCCAACTAATCCTCAGCTGATGACTCGGGTTCTGGTGGTCTTTGGGGGTTTTCACTGACTATAAGAACTCCCTAGACTGAGGTGGGGGGAGGCGTAAATGGAACAGCTCTGGAATTCTGTGATCCATTAAGTACATTCATTGAAATGGAATGCTTCCTCCTCTAGTCCACAGATTTCTCACAGGTTCACAGATTTTCTTCCTTGAGCTTAATCTTGTTTTTTTGTTCACTCCTCTTCTAAGATTCTGTGATATGGTTCTCAAGCTTCAGGTTGGCCCATGTTGGAACTGATTGGGAATCATTAATTTCTTAGGTGATTAAAAGAAAGGGAGGATGGACACCCACACACAAACACACACATACCCCCCCCTGTACACAGAGACAAGTTCATTAAATACAATTTCAGATTCAGATTCATTAAAAACAGTAATGTGCCAGACTGGTACAATCTAAGGAGCAACAATGTCATCTCTGTTAGGATCATAAGATTTAGAATTAGAAAGGATCTTGGAAATCAGTAAGGAAGCACTTCACGCGAGGGGCTCAGTGACCTGGGCTCAGTCCTGAGGGGAGGAACCTGACCCCAAAACAGGGTATCAGACTCTCCCTTCATACTCTCTGACTCATTGCTCCCATGAGCAATGGGGAAAATCTCTTAAAGTTGAGGCATGTTTCATATCTAGGGTTTCCCCAAAGAGGAATTATCAGGGTCCTTTCTAGAAAAGGTACTAAATGAACAAAGTAGATATCAGGTATAAGACAGCTATTTATTTCCTCTACCATAATAACCATTCACCTCTTATACTCTCCCAGAAGGTAAAGACAACATTTTAAACTATTTAAGAGATATTTCACATTTACCTCAAATCTGCCCTAAGTAATTACTAAATCCAACTCTCCTAGAAAGTTAGGGTATAGTTTAAACTTTCTTAATCTTTTTAGCTTCAGCTTCCTCCTCATTAGAATGGATTGGGGGGATCATTTTCTCTTCTAAAAAGTTATACAAATTACTTCTTCCTAGGTATCCAGCTCCTGAACTCTCAAATTTTTGAGGTTCCCAAACAGGGTTAGATGGGGACAGCTAAGTGGCACAGTGGCGAGAACACTGGGCCTGGGGTCAGGAAGACTCATCTTCCTGAGTTCAAATCTGTTCTGAGACACTTACTAGCTGTGTGACCCGGGGCAGGTCACTGCACCCTGTTTGCCTCAGTTTCCTCATCTGTAAAATGGACTGGAAAAGGAAATGGCAAACCACTTTAGTGTCTGTTGAGAAAACTCCACACAGGGTCGCAATGAGTCAGACACTAGTGAGATGACTAAACAACAAAAAAAAAAAAAGCCAGGGCTGGAAGTATCTGTTTCTCAGGACCACTGTTTGGTTGCCTGGGTTTAGGGGAGGAAACCTCAAACGAGAGACACAGTCAGGGCTTCAAGGACCAACCTCAGGCTCTTCTAGGCAAGCACACTTGGTGGGAGAAGTAAATCCTTCCCCCTCGTTGGAAGTCCAAAGGAGAGCTGGTGTTGATGGTGTCTCAACAAAGAAGTGACCTCAGAAGAGACCCTAAGGCATCTTTCCTTGCTTCTTATGGCCCACAAAATGAGAGAATTTTCCTGAATCAATGTCTGACACAGTCCTGACTCATGGGAACTAACTATGAGTAGCTGATGCTTTAGTACTAGCATGTGCTTCAGCAAGTGACCTACCACAAAGGGTAGGACTACGTACAGTCCTGTCACTTTTGTTATAGACAGATGACTAAACCATGATCCAAGAGGCTCCAGGTCACACAGGTAAACCTAGATAAACTTCAGTTTAGGCCCTTGCCTTCATCATTTTGTTTAAATATAGGATTTAGAGCTAGAAGACACTTCAGAGTTTAGCTGGTCTAATCTCCTCATTTTATAAGTGGGGAAACTGAGGCCCAGAGAATTTAAGGGATTTGACCAAGACCACACACATAGCAATATGAATGCAGGTCTTTTGTTTCTAAGGGCAGCTAGGTGGCATACTGGATAGAGTTCTGGACCTGAAGTCAGGAAAACTCACCTTCCCGAGTTCAAATCTAGCCTCAGATGCTTATGGATGTATGACTCTGGAAAAGTCAGGTTACTCCGTTTGCCTCAGTTTCCTCATCTGTAAAATGAGCTGGAGAAGGAAACAGCAAACCACTCCAGTATCTTTGCCAAGAAAACCTCAAATGGGGTCACAAAGAGTCAAATGTGACTGAACAATAACTTCTTTTTCTAAAACTAGTACCTTTTCTACCATATGACCTGGAAAATTAAAGAATTACTGTTAGAATAGACTTTAGAGATTGTTTAGTAAAATCCTTCCATTTTACATGTGAAAAACCCTGAGGCCCAGACAAGAAGAAATGATTTGTCCAAGGTCACTAGTTAGTAAGTGGGGAGGGGGCTAGGGAGGAGGTCAGTATGGAGGTGGGGAGTAGAACCAAAGTCTATTTGCTCTAATGACTACCAAGTTGGCTGGAGCCAACTGTTTGGCCACGTCATGTGAATGATGTTTTTAAACCATTTCTGTATTCTGCTCACAGAACACATGGACAGGGAATGTCAGATCCCATGGGAGGCAGAGAGGGAAGATGCAAAGACATCTCAGTGTGTGTCCTATAGGGAAAAGCTGGAAGTTTGACTGAACTCTCTAAAGAAACTAATTTATCCTCCTTCCCCGGAATAGCTCATCCACTTTTACAGCATTATCCTCCAAAGTGTAGGTGGCTTGCTAAAGGGATTTCCAAGAATTCTGGTCCATCTGAGGGGATCAAAGCGTACCCTGTAATAGCTCGGCAGTCCTTCAAAGCCCCTGAGGGTTAGGTAGGCTGTCTGGGAAAGGCAGGATAAGCCAGATGTTATTCTAGTCTTTCTTCTCCTTCCTTCCCGCCCCCCCATTCCAATTATAGTGTTTTAGACCTAGGAGGCACGTTAGTGATCATCTAATCCAAAGATTCTCAACCTGGAGTCCATGAACTTGTTAAAAAAAATGTTTAGAACTGTATTTCAATATAATTGGTTTCCTTTGTAATCCTATATATTTTATTATATGCATTTACAAACATTATTTTGAGTATAGGTCCATAAGCTTGACCAGATTGCTAAAGGAATCCAAGAACCCCTAATTTTGTTCAATTCCCTCTTTCTACAGATGGGGAAACTGAGTCATTTGCTCAGAATCACATGGGCTAGTAATAGTAGAGTCTGACCCAAGGCCTAGATGTATTGTTTCCTCTTAATCTATTTTTTCTATAAGGGTGATATTTTTTGTCGCTTCTTTATCTCAGTGGTTGCTTTAGTACCTGGGACTGAGATTAGGTGACTATGAAGTCTGAAGAAATATCACAAGACCCGTTTCCATTTTTGTCTTCAAGATCATCCTCCCCAAGTTCAGTAGGTTTTTTTTTTTTGTGGCCTCAAGTCCCCATTCTTTTTTCTTTCCTTCAATTCCTTCCTTTATAAACCATATTCTTCCCATTTTTCAAATATTGTCCCACTTCTTCCTGTCCCAAATGCTACCTCTGGCAACTTTCTCTCAACTTATTCCATGACATTCTTAGATTGATGATAAAAAGAGACCAAAAGGAGAGAGGGAGGAGAGAAGGAGGGAAGAAGGAAAGAAGAAAGGAAAGAAGGAAGGGAAAGAAGAAAAAGAAAAGTGGGAGAAAATAAAGAAGGGAGAGAGGAAGAAAGAGAGAAGAGAAAGGAAGGAGGAAAGAAGGAATGGAGAGAGGAAAGAGAAAGGAGGGAGGAAGGAGAGAAGGTAGAGAGGGAGAAAGGAAGAGAGTAAAGAAGGGAAGGAGGAAGGAAGGGAGGAGAAGGCATCTGTCTTTAGAAAGGCACTGATCTCCTTGTAGTTCCTTGAACAAGATACTCCATCTGCAGACTTTGGGCATATTCACTGGCTGTCCTCCATGCTCTTCCTCCTCATCTTCATCCCCCAGTTTCTCTGTCTTCCTTCAAATCCCAGACATAATCCCGCCTTCAAAAGAAAGCTCTTCCCAAACCTTTTTACCTCTAGTGCCTTCCCTCCGGTGATTACTTCCTGATTATTTATCCTGATAGATAGCTTGTTTGTAGATAATTATTTGCACATAGTCTGACTCATTAGATTGTGACCTCCTCCAGGGCAGGGACTGTCTTTTGCCTTTCTCTATATCCCCAGCTCTTAGTATTGTGCCTGGCACCCAGCAGACACTTAATAAATGTTTATTGACTAACAAAAATCTAAGGTAACTATTGACTTGATCTCTAGCTAGAACAAAAATGTAAATGAAATTACAAGGGCATAGAAAAATGTTCTTGGGT